GGAACCTCCCACCCCAGTTAGAGCTGGACATTCCTAGAGAGGACAGAAAAATCTGCTTCCCATGGTGGAAGATAATTTCCACCGTGGGGGCTATGCAGGGCCCTTCAGCCAGGGAGTCTAAGTAGTTCGGAGAAATGTTCAACCGGAGTAAGGAGAAACAGAAGCAGCCACTCTTGGGGTGTTTGCAGCTCTTGTCTCTTTCTGTTTTACATAAACTTCCTTTTGCCCTAATTAAAAAAAAAAAATTGGGATGGCTGGGATTTAGGGCTTTCTAATTTTCAGAATCCTGTAAACAGTGTTATCAAGCTCAACCTATTGTCACCATTTGAAGGGAGCTGACTTAAGTCCCTCCAAATAGAGTATAATTGCACCTGGCATGAAAACAAGGCCTAAGGTTTCTGTCACTGGGAGGTCAGCCTAGTGCGACGCCACATCAGGCAGTTCCGATCACTTCTGATATGGAATTTGGATGTAGTTGGTTCCTTCCCCCAAAGATAGCCCCCATCCTCAACATATATATACTCTATGTACAGGGTGACTGCAATGTCAGGAAACTTGGGATAAACTCTGTTTTTAATCCTCACTGGAGAATATGTTTTTTGGTGTTTTTTATAAAATTGATTTGAGAGAGTGAAAGAGAAAGAGAGAGAGACGCACACAGAGAAACATCACGTGAGAGAGAAACATCAATGGGCAGCCTCCCATACACACCCCATCCAGGGGTCGGACCACAGCCTAGCCATGTGCCCTGACTGGGAAGCGAACCGCAACCTTTTGGCGTATGGACAACACTCCAAACACCTGAGCACCTGGCCGGGGGAGATAAACCTTTTATAAGTACTTGTGGGGAGGGGGGCGTTGAGGGGATGCCGGTACAGGAGCCTGGGGAGTGAGTGGGTTTGAGTGGGTGTGTGTGGAGGCTAGTTTGGGGTGTGTACTGGGTGGTGGGGTTGTATGTGGGTGTGGATGTGGGGATATGAGGGGACCATGGAGTGAGTGTGTGTGCCCATCAGTGTGTGCGTGCATGTGTACGCAGAGGTGGGGGCAGTGATGTGGGTGTGGTCTGTGATGCTGTGCCAGGATAAACTTAAAATCTGTTGCATTTTCAGATAATATGCTAGATATTTTTCAGGGAAAGTACTCCAATGTGTCTAACCGTTAATATGAAATATTACAAAGTGTCCAAAATGTCTGGAAACAGGAAACAGTGTATTTGGAATTTTTTTTTTTTTTTGGATTAACCATGGATCCACTGCTTAAACTTTAGAGATATATCACCTGAGAAGATTTCTCATCTAGAGGCTGAAGAAAAACAAATTGAGCATAGCACTGGAAAATGTAAACTAATGTACAACTTAAAAGTAACTTTCTCCTGTTTCCTAATTTTGAAGT